TATATATATATATATAATCACTGATATATTATTATTTGTTTATTACTTAATATCTGTCTTACCTCATCAAAATGTCATTTCCACAAGGGCAGCAATTTTACTATTTTTGTTCACTGTTATTCTCACTGGCTGGAACAGTGTCTGGAATGTTTTGATTCCTCAAGAATTATTTATTGACTAAATAAATAAATTCTTTTTAAAAGTAATGTCCCTCACTCTAAGGATGAAGCACACAATCCAAGATAATTCCATTCCAGGGACAGCTATATCTGACTCTGACATAGAATTTTTCATTGATGAAATCAGTTTGGTGAGTAAAATACGATAAAACAAAGAGTTTGTGTTGGAAATATTGACAAAAGCCCTTGGAGAGGGAAATCTGGAGGGACAACATCTTTACTGTGTGGCATCACTCATCAATGCTGTGGGCTTAGTTGAAATCCTGCCAGCTTGAGGTGGCAGATACTGAGGGTCTGTTCTTTTTGGCTACATTTAAAAATCATTTTGGAGAGTTCATCCTATTATGTTTATAAAATAACATTTTTTAAAAGGTTGAAATTGTTTGCAGTCTTCTGAGAAATGTGAGGTTTATTTGGGGGATGGGGTGGGGGTGGGAACAAGGAAGAGAAAAATAGACTTTTAAAATTCAATTTTCTATTTTTAATTTGTATATACATAGATCAATAATTACATTTTTAAATGAAAATATTTTCTCTATTATAGCTTTTCTTCCTTTTGAAAGGAAACCTTGGAAAAATTGCAATTGATGAGAATTCCTCTTATTTTAAAATTGGATAACATTCTAACATTTTAGAAAATTTCATAATGAGTAAGCAGTAGGAAAATTTTAAAAACTCTAAAAACTATTGGAAAGGTTGTTGAAGCCATGGATTACTATATTTGTTTGTGAGTTTAAAGCTCCAAATAAAATGTTGTGATTCACAGATATTTGCTTGGGGATGTGAATTTATGTTCCAGAGTGAAGAGGACTTAAAAATTAGGAAGTCTTTCAATTTCCCATCCATGTTAAATTCATATAATCACATGAGTCACAATGAACTTTCGTGGCGAAAAAACTCTCTGTGTTTATAAAACACAGGTCCACTAGAACTCATGGACCTGTATCATAAGTTTTGCACATACTGCCTAACAGTCCAGGAACAGTGCTAAAGTACCCAAGTGAAATATTTAGGGTAGAGGCTCCCAATCTCTGGTTCTAGACAAAATCTTAAACAAAAACCTGGGGTCAGTGGGGGGGGCAAGGTAGCAGCTCAGAATTTAGGCTTACAGATGAGACGAGAAAACATGTGGTGGATGGCCAACAGTTTTCTCATCCTAAATTTATTTGTACATTTGTTTTGCACTGCTAGAGATTCAAACTAACCCTAAATTCAGCTCAGTGCTGCTTCTGAGAAGTCCAGTGAATATCTTCACATAGCAGACATCTCCATAATGACACCGTAATAATGATGC